GCACTGAGAGAGGTGCATACAGGTGTTACAAATCTAGAGCATATGTCGCCAGTCGATATTATAGTTGATACAATAACTGCAACAGGCAGTGCCGTTGGATGGAGTATTGCTCGAGTATTTTACTTGGTCTGAAAATTAAACCAAGATCATATCAGTCAAATAATTTCTACGTAACTTCTACAGTAAATTATAGACATTGTTTCCTAGCCCTTATCCCTTCTCTTTGGGTTATTAGGCGAGGAATAAAGGACGGCCAACGAGGTTGTATATAGCTGTTTCCAAAAAGGTTGTCGGATAAATGGCGAATGTCAATGGTCGAACGGCGATTGTACGGCCGAAAGTAGCCATGGGTTTTGCTAGCTGAAAGGCAATAACAACTGATTTTTACTGTAAGATTGTCTGTGGTAAACATTGGCTCCATTTAGTCTCCATTTCCATGTAAGGGAAATCCAATAAGTGAAATTAGTTTTGTTTATCAAAGTAGTGTAACCATAGTCCCTTTCGGTCGTGCAATCTCCCTTCGACAATCGCCGTTCACCGTTCTCCCCGACAACGTTTTTTGAAATAGCTGTACATAACAGTTTTAATTGTACAGCAAAAAAGCGAATCACAATAAGAATCATTACGACACATTAGCAAACATAACATTTGTGCATGGACTACACTTCCCATCATGCTTTGAGATGGAAAATACCGTCGCATTGCCTATTGGGTAATAGCTATTGTCATAGCTGTGTAGTTCACTTACCTTGACATGAATGCAATAAAGTAGGAAGCWAATGTTTTGGTAAAGTATTCTTGCTGTGCTGCATGACATAAAGCAGCCAGAGGACCACTCAGGTCTTTAATAGGCTGTACTTTATCTTCACTCTGTCATAAATGGAAGAATCTTTAGAGTTCAGGAAAGAGCAAAATAAGTTGCAAAAATACTATGGAGGATATGGAAGACAAATCGTTTGACTTTCACATGACTCGGATAAGGATGTAGGCTCGGAAGTCCTGTCCATTTTAATCTAATTTTGTTGTGAGCATCAAAGAACCACTGAGGATGTATCTGGTACCTCTGCTACGTTCCACACAGAATATCGAAAGTAAAGTTGGTTTAACAGTGTTTCTAAATACTTGCCACCAACAATGATATAACATCTTCATCGTTATTTCAGTTGTTATGTTTTGTAATGAACATTACAAAAATACAGACCTTCAAGAAGCCCAAGTAAACCAGGATAGAGTTGGCAAGTCCTGCTTTCTAAAGACTTGTCATCGACAATGATACAACATCTTCATCGTTATTACAGTTGTTAGTAATGAACATTATAAAACTCATTAATATTCATAAGGCAAAACACAATAGAAATCATAGCCCATGAAGAGAGTTGTATATTACATACAGATTTCTTGTTCATTTGCATAAACTTTTACTCTGATTTTCTCAGTCAGATTGAATTTTTTTTCAAAAGTTTCTTTAAAACCTGAGCTAATTTACCTTAACGTTTCATAAGTAATATACAATATTCGCGTGCGATCTGTATGAGGATTTAAAACAGCTCGCTTTCAGCTCGCTGTTTTAAATCCTCATACAGATCGCCCGCTCATATTGTATATATTACTTACAAAAATACAGACCTTCAAGAAGCCCAAGTAAACCAGGATAGAGTTGGCAAGTCCTGCTTCTTGAATGCTTGCTTTTAACGCTGATCCTAAGATGGCATCTTTTGAGAAAAATTAACGGAAATTGAATTGAAGAAACGTTAACAAACCATTACATGTCGGTCGTGATATAGCTGTTCTCTTGTGGACTGGTTGATTAAACGCCAAATGAAAAACCGTTTCCAATAGACCCTCTCAGTCTCATTAACAATTCGTCCGCCATCTTGAATATTATAGAGAAACTACGGGATGCAAGCAGTCAAAATCACATCAACATTTATTATGAACATTTGTGTCCATAAATCAATTCCTTTGTCTCCTCTAGAAGCCCGCGTTATGAGGTTGAACGAGCAATATAACAGCTGCGAGAGGAGACCATAGACTCTGATAATCTCGTGTTTCAAAATTAATTGAAGGTTTTGCATAAAAAACAACCAAATGTATTGCTTTTCGAATTTATGATGCAATATTATTACTCTCACAGCATTCTCAAAGCTATAGAGTCAATTTCGCATGAGTGGGAAACGGACGGTACTGTACTGTAACCGTAATCGTACTGTAACCAAATTC